CCACTATAAAATGTTTTTAGGTTAGCTAATTACGTAATATCTTAAAACAGGAGGACCCTTAAGTATGACTGACTAAATTAGCCGACTTGGTAATTACATGGATCTCACAACTTTTTACGGTAGAAGAACTGAGTTGCGAGACTTGTTTTTTTTACAAGTTATGTTTTTGAAGGCATTTACTATATTCAACGAATATTTTTGTACTCGTATATTTATCATTCTCTTGATGAGATAAAATAAGAATACTTTATAAATACCCTAAATATATTTTTTTAATTTTATTGTTTTGTTTTTATTTATTTATAAATAAGGTAACATAATGCCTAACTGCATTTTCTGCCTTTCAACGTGTGATATACATACGTTTATTTTAACACATACGCACACAAACATAAATCGCTGACCTATTGCAAATTGCTTACATAGGTTTAAAAAGCTTGTAGATACTATGCGAGAGGCGAGTAAACAAAAGTCAACACCTGTCGCGCGCGCCGCAGGAATGTGTGCCAAGGATATGTCGACGAACCCCGGTAGGCCTATTCGCTCGCGGCGTTCGCAGGGGCCGAGTCTTGTTAATCAATTAGATTTAATCTGTGTACTTATTTTTATTGTTGCTCGTTATTTAAATTTTACATATTGTGTTTATTACTAAATGCACCGGCAGTCGTTGTTCTGGACAACATTTCAATTTGCTAATTTAAGAATAAATTACGTGGAATATAGCTCAGTCTGATGACAATGTAAGAATATAAAAAATGTGGTAAAGCTCTGTAGCTATATTATGGTCGTAGCAAGAATGGGTCACTTCGACCGGGGTAGGACTACGCCACGGTAATATTATGACTACGCTCTCACAGAATACCAGCATAAAATAGCAGTTTAATGTTGCTGTGTTTCGTATGGTGAGTGTAGAAAACCGGAGACCCCTTTTTTATAAAAACTAGGCATTCTATCTAAGTTCTCAGCGGTGATAAATCATCTACAATTTATTTCTTAATTGAGGATATATTTAGATGTCCATAGATACAGTATCCACTTACCATCAGTTAGATTGCGTGCTTGTTTGTCACCCTTATTTATACCAAAAAAATCCGTGTATGGTCACCGCCATGCCAGCCAGCTCATAACTGTCTAAAATAATTAAAAACTTAGTTTTTTTTACATTGAATTAAATGACTCCTGACGGAAGCAATAAACACGTTTCTAGCAAGTCGGACGTCCCGCTGTTTGGCGTGCATCGCCCGCGCTAGGTTTTTTTACCCAGCGTTGCGCGTTCCGCTCTCATAATACAGCGCAATTAACTCTTATTAAATGTACCCGTCGTGACAATCAACCGCGTCTGCGTGTATGTTGTGCGTGACTTATGTTCATACTAGTGTTTGTTTATTTTTACAAGACATACAGTTATTGCTATGTACATCCTACTGTACATAACCGTTCCCACTACTAGGCTGGATTATGCAACAATTAGTCCTTGTCATGTTGGCAGTTGTTATGTGCCTTTGAAATATTTTAATTCCTCTCGCAAGCAGCCTTATACGTGGTGAAACCACGCTGCAGCTATATTATGGTTGTAGCACAAATGGGTCGGCTCGACCGGGGAAAGACCACGCTCTCACAGAATACCAGAGTAAAATAGCAGCTTAATACTGCTGTGTTTCGTATGGTGAGTGTAGAGATCTGGAGACCCTTTTTTACTGGAAACGAGGCATTCCATCTTAGTCCTCAGGGGTAACAACGCATCTGCGTTTTGATTCTTAATCGAGAATAAATGTAGCTGTCTATGGGCCACAGCATCCACTTACCATTTGGTGGGCTGTACTCTCGTTTGTCATTCTAGAAAAAAAGCAGATTGCCTCAAAAACCCGGCCAAACTGTATTGTAGCGATGTAAGAGTATCAGCTACCCTATATCGACCCGTAAGAGATGATAGAAGGAAACTAAACCAGAAGATGGGCAGCAGCGTCTCCCTTCTGATAATTCGAAATAATGGAAAACTGCTGTTGGCAACTCGCTTACCAAGCGTGGCAGCTGTGGCAAAATCTTCGCTATCGGGCAATCTATGAGAGCGGCCTGTGTTAGGTAGTAGACTATGGTAGGCTGTAACTGATGGAATGGATGGACAAGCAGGTTTCCTCACGATGTTTTTCTTCACCACAGGGCATGGTAAATTAACACTTAAAATAACGCATTTAAAATCTTTATTAATGGCGAAACGTAATCAAACCCGGGTGGCTCACGCACTTGGTAATTAACGGCGTACGTTTAGCTCTTGAGCTGCCACGGTTATTGCACGATCAATTTCGAGGTGCGGGGGGGGGGGTGGTTAAACACCGTCAACTTCCTGACTCGAGTTTGCATTTGAGAATTCCTTGAGAGAAATACTCAGTAACTTATTTTTGTTTTTGGCCCGACTCGATTCTACCTAACCCTATTCGGAGCAATACCAGCAACTATAAAATAACGATAGCAATGCATATAAATGCATTACTATTATTTGATTACCATCGCGTTCATTAACTCGATTTGCGTGAGATAATGCAGCAGCTCGCTATTGTGCGCCTACGCTGCCGGTGACTGATAGCGCTATTGTTTAATAGATCTTGAAACTTCGCGACTATACTTAATTACATACTGTAGAATAAATAAGTCAGTCTGAGAACATTATTGAAAATAACAATAAATCCATTTTTTAAATAATAAGTACTTAAAATTATAGTATTTTATATTTACGCGATCACTACACATTTAAATAAAATTAGTTTCTACCGATTTTATCGCGTGTGTTAACTTATTTTATATTCCCGACATTTCGCGTACTTTTCAAGACTCATGATCGAGGGAAGGGGAGCGGGGGTACAGTCTAACGTATAAGTTAGTATCATTTAAAAGTACGTAAAATTATTTTGTTGTTTTTGTTGAGCCACGCTGTAGCTATATTATGGTTGTAGCATGATTGGGTCGGCTCCACGAGGAAGAACTACGCTCTCACAGAATACCAGCGTGAAATAGCAGATTAATACTGCCGTTTTTCTTATGGTGAGCATACCCAGAGGCCCTGTTCAATGGAAACGTGGTATTCTGTCTTAATCCTCAGGGATGAAAACGCATATGCATATTGATTCTTAATTGAGGATAGATAATATAGAGCCTATGGGCCACAACATCACACCATTAAGTGTACAGTGTGCTCGTTTGTCATTCTTATTCCATAAAAAAGGGAAAAATTAATTATAACTTGATTATTTACAAGCTGGCCTAGCAAACACTGATCCTTCCCGGTAGTTGACACAATGTGCTTCGCACCAAATTCACTCCGTGATTTTTACAGTGTACATTTACGAGTTTATCTTTCAATAAAATTAAAGTGACGGTCTGTAATATCAAAATAACTTTTATACGTGGTAGAACCATACTGCAGTTATATTTGTGGTATAGTTGTGGCACGAATGGGTCGGCTCCACCGGGGAAGGACCACGCTCTCACAAAATACCAGCGTAAAATAGTAGCTTAATGCTGCTGTGTTTCGTATGGTGAGTGTAGAGTACCGGAGACCCTTTTTACTGGAAACGAGGCATTCCACCTCAATCCTAACGGATTACAACGCACCTGCATTTTGATTCTTATCACTATCCAGACATTGTTCGAAGATAAATGTAGATGTCTATGGGCCGCAGCAACCACTTACCATCAGATGGACTGTGTGCTCGTTGGTCCTATATAAAAAACTGCCTACTATTGAGCTGAAGGGGTTATTTGGATGCTACTAAGACATGAGTAACCATTTCTAAAATGTTTGTCTATCTATCAGTCCAGGCTAATTTTCAGAATAGCTGACCGACTGTAATGAAATTTCACGAACATATAGAGAGCAATTTATAAAATGAATAGACACCTACATTTATACTCGATTAAGATCGAAATACAGATGCGCTGTCATCGTCAGCAAGTGCATGCGTTGCGAAATTAGTGCCTCGGAAAGCACGTCCGTTGGTATTGCGCCTGATCTATCTCCGATCGTATCGAATTGACATCCCATGGGGAAATGAGAGTGAGACAATAATGAAGTGAATACAAAAAAGAGCGCATCCGTGTTTACGCAGAGCATTATACTCCTGTCCTGCGCAAATAGCTAGCCTCCGTTGTGTCCGGCCGCCGTGACTGAAATTTGGTCCGGAGGACACAATCTATCACGAATCTTACTACATAACATGCAGGATATGTATAATTAACTTACGCATACTCCAGTTAAATAAAGAACAAAGAAATATCCAGTTCGAGCAGGAAGCTAAGGCGTAGCTACGCGGAATTGTTTGCCGACACACCTCTCCATTGTCTCGCTGCTTATATTACGTGTATCGTGCGATGTGGGAGCCAACGGGATTCCTATCGGTAATTGGTTTAACGATTCAACACGTTACGGCTGCGAAAAACCGGAAAAACGGCGTCCGTGCCCCCCACGGTTCTATCGCATGCGTTTGATACGCTTGATCACCGGAACGCAATCGTTGGAAGGTCTATTATGAATTGTACATGATATTTAATCAATTGATGATATATTTTTATGATTGATATTCTTAGTTTATATATACAAATTAGAATACCTTTCTTTTAATTATTTTTCATCAGTTAAATTTCATTGCTGGATATGCTATTGATGAAGACTTTTTATGGATGATAATAACCCTTGAGAATGAGGTGATCGCTACGATGATATTTCTAATTTGCTTTGTGTTGCTAATTATTGTTTAACTGTAATGAATATAAACTGTTATTTAAAAAAAACCTGTTTCTTGCTGGTCCTTTCCAGGACGGAGGTATTTTCCGAACCATTGGTAAATTAAGCATAAGAGTGGCTTTCAATAAGTATTATTTATAATCTTCTATCCTGTTGTAATTATCTTGTGTACTCGCCACAAACATTAGTTAATGCTATTAAAAAAATAAAGTTGTTTATTAGTGTATACGCTTCTTGTAACATAATTGTGAACAAAACTCACCGTGCTAGCCGGGTGTGCAGGTAGCAGTACAACGGGCGGTGGCGCCATTTTCCTGGGCTTCCTGACACCCTTAGGACGGCGACGGGTGGTCGCCAGGACTGACTGGTGCCGTCCTAACCAGTGCGTCACCAGCTTCTCCTTGCTGTTCGCGCTACCAAACTCAGCTTCCGCCTTCTTGAAGAATATAATAGAATAGAATATTTTATTCAATATAAATTATTATTTTACATGTATTACAATACACGGGTATTGATAGCGTGAGAATTACCTACTACCCCATATCGTCATGTGGGTGCCGTAAGAGGCGACAAATGGGAATTGAAACGGGTGTTGGGCAGCAGTATCTTCCTGATAACAACTCAATATAATAAAAAACAAGTGGCAAGTGCATTTTCTTATTATTAAAATTACAGCGACAGCCTATATACCTCCCACTGCTGGGCACAGGCCTCCTCTCATTTCTGAGAGGGTTTTAGGGCAAGGAAGTGTCCGCTGCGTTGCTTTCACATATCTTCGAATTTTTTTTTTATTTTTCAGACGTGCAGCTTTCCTCACAGTTTTCAGGTTTTTATTATTTAGTTGTTATCATAAAGGCGCCGCTGCCTCCTGTTACATTAGCCTCCGTTGCCTCTAACGATACCCACGGGATGATATGGACTCTTAGACCTTCAGAGTATGGGGTAGGGGGGGAGTCACGGGATGATTTGGATGGTAGATATTTTTTACGCTGGCATTTCAGTGCATTTCAAAACTTATTATATATATTATATTATCTCATTAAAATAATTAAATGTGAAAATATTTTGTAACTTTTTTTACAATTTAACACGCTTTCATGAGCTTGTTCCGTGTACAGTATCAGAATTTTAGTAAACAAATGTTGCGGCTTGAATTTCACCCACTTCTAATGCGCTAGTTTATCTTTTTAAATACGAAATTTCAACTGTAATTAATTTTAATGTTAGACACCCTTGAATTTCAGTTAGTCTAAAACGTTAAAAGCTATGTCTATGCTTTTCTTATTAGTTTTTTTTAATAAAACATCTACTATTATTATTAACCTGACTGACTCATTGGTCTAGTGGTCGGAAACGCGATTACTGATCATGAAGTCCGAAACCCGCGGGTTCGAATCCCGGGTTGGACCAAAATTGGTTATTGAGTTTTTTTGTAAGAAATTCTCAGTAGCAGTCTGGAATCAGGAAGCTGGTGGTGTTTCACCCCCGTGCCTCGGAAATCACGTAATGCCGTTGATCCTGGATCGTGTAGGTTTGCCGCCGCATCGGATTATAAGAGTAAGGGAATAGAGAGTGCACCTGTGCTTGCGCATACACTTGGGTACTATAACCTTGTCTTGCACTGATAGCTAGTCTCCCTTGGGAACGGCCGCCGTGGCCAAAATCGGTCTGGAGGACATTACTATTTTGTTTTTCACCAGTATTATTTGCTATAAGAAAAAATAATAAGATTAATTTTTTATTAAAATACTTACTTTCTTTTTCTTCAGCGTCCCCCCCTGCAACTTAATTTCAAGCTCCTTACAGAGCTCGTGGTTTCTCATCTTTTCGATATCGTGGACCTTCTTGATTTCATCCACGTGCATGACGCACTGCTGCACCTTGAAGGCAGGGTCGAACTGGTTGTGGTTGTAGGCCTGTTTGGGCCTGAAGCATGGACAGACCCTCTTGGACAGGTGGTAGATGCTGACAATGCATATCAGGCAATGCACTGTCGCAATGATGAGGAGTGCTATGTTGGTAAGTACTGGAGTCCAAGCTTGCATTTCATCCTATGAAACAAAAAATATTCGAGTTTTAACTAATTAAGTATACATGTAATGTATAACGAAAGTAACCTACAGAATATGTAAGCTGAAGTGGTAATGCCACTTAGCTGAAAGAATCGGCAACCAAATATTTTTAATTAGAAGGCATTACTTTTCAATTATTTGTACCTTTACTCTGGATCCTATGATACAAACCCGGTTTTATTTGGAAACCAATGACTATACATAAATATAACTGTATATATAAATGTAATGAATTAAAATAAAGATAAGGATAAGCTGTTCACAATTTAGAAACATTTGTCCTCATCACCATGGTAATGGCGGGGCAGGGGGTGCTAAGAATCTCCGGTGGAGGTTCGGTTGCCACCTACGACGACTCGACCTGGCAATATATAATGCATGCACCCTGAGGACTGACGAGAAGATACTGGAGTTGGAAGAAGAGGTAGACAAGTTGCGCTGGCATATTATTGGGTTATCCGAGGTCCGAAGAGAGGGGGAGGACACGGTAATCCTCGAGTCCGGCCACTTGTTCTATCACCAGGAGGGCGACCATCTATCCCAAGGAGGTGTCGGATTTATCGTCCACAAGTCTCACGTCAACAACGTTGTAAAGATTGGGAGTGTGTCGACAAGGGTAGCGTACCTGATACTCAGAATCACCAAACGGTATTCGCTGAAGGTCATACAGGTTTACGCACCAACCTCGCAATCCCGATGTGCCGAGGTTGGTGCGTAAACCTGTTGGTGGTGGAAGATATGTATGAGGATATTTCTAGAGCCATGCATTCCTCCAAAACCCACTACACGGTGTTGATGGGAGACTTCAACGCAAAACTAGACATAAGAGAAGGCGGTGAGCTGAAGTTAGGGAAATTTGGAGTAGGGCAACGGAACCGAAGGGGCCAGCAGCTGGCCGACTTAATGAAGAAGGAGGGACTCTTTATGATGAGCTCTTTTTTCCAGAAGCGGCCCCATAGGAAGTGGGCCTGGTCGAGCCCCAACGGTTCGACAAAAAATGAGATTGACTTCATTATGGCAACCAGACGCCAACTCTTCAGTGATGTCTCAGTGATCGCAAGGGTGAAAACTGGCAGCGATCACCGAATGGTTAGAGGCACACTGAACTTAACGTTAAGTTGGAGAGGTCTCGTCTAATGAAGTCAACGCTCCATCCCCCTCGTGCTCTAATCCAGAATCCCGAAACTTTTCAGCTCGAGTTACGTAACCGCTTTCAGTGCCTAGAAGATTGCAATGCAGTGAACGATATGAATGACAAGCTCGTGTAAACTGTCCATGCAGTCGGAGCTAAGTTCTGCAAGATCGGCCGCAGAAGAACACAAAAACTCTCCGATCACACTCTTAATCTTATGACTGTTAGACGGGATATGATACTGCAGTCGTCAACAGATTTGACAGCATACAGGCAACTGAACAGACAGATCTCCAAACGCATGCGAGAGAAGAGAGATGCAGAGTACGAAACCTATTTAACTGCAGAGAGGTATAAGACAGGGTGACGTTATTTGCCCGAAACTCTTCACCGCTACATTGGAAGACGTTTTCAAGCTACTGGACTGGAAAGAATACGATATTAACATCAATAGCGAGTACATCACTCACCTTTTATTTGCCGACGATATAGTCCTTATGGCAGAATCGCTGGAGGATTTAAGCACTATGTTCAATGACCTCAATAGTGTCTCCCAACGGATAGGTCTTAAGATGAATATGGACAAAACAAAGATCATGTTTAATGTCCATGTCACACCTATGCCGGTAGTTGTTGGGAGCACTAAGCTCGAAGTTGTTGACGAGTACGTTCACCTGGGACAAATAGTCCGGCTAGGTAAGTCTAACTTCGACCGAGAGGTCAATCGACGGATTCAACTCGGCTGGGCAGCGTTCGGGAAATTACGACACATCTTCTCGTCAGGTATACCTCAAAACCTGAAAACTAAGTTGTACAACCAGTGCGTGTTGCCAGTGATGACATATGGAACTGAGACGTGGTCCTTCACTGCTGGCCGTATGAGGACGCTCAAAGTCGCTCAGCGAGCTATAGAGAGGGCTATGCTCGGAGTTTCTCTGCGTAATAAACTTAGAAATGAGGATATCCGCAGTAGAACCATAGTGACCGACATAGCCCAACGGATTAGTAAGCTGAAGTGGCAATGGGCTGGCCATATAGCTCGAAGAACCGACAACCGTTGGGGAAAAAAGGTTCTCGAGTGACCGCCTCGTACCGGTAGAGGAAGTGTAGGGCGACACCCCACTAGATGGAGTGACGGCCTGGTAAGACATGCAGTAAGTCGATGGATGCAGGCGGCTCAGGACGGTGCTTTGTGGCATACCTTGGGGGAGGCCTATGTTCAGCAGTGGACTTGTAAAGGCCTGTAATGATGATGATGATGATGTCCTCATCACAATTTAAAACATATGGTACGTATACGTAAGGGGTCGTTCAAGTATTACGCACCTAAGTAATATTTTAGTAGTATAAAATTTTTAAACCCCTTACATATACCGCCTGTATAAGAAAAAGTAAGAAAATCTTAAATCTAAAAATGATAACGAGACGTAAGATTTTTTTAAATTCAGTAGACATCACTACAAAGTTTAAATGTAAAAACCAAATTGCTTTTAAAACTAAAATAATTGACTATCGTTTATTCTTCACGGACTTCGTATTCAAGTTTTTCGGTCATTAATAATTAGCAATATATCTTCACAAGATGTAGATTCGGTGGGATTATTGACATCAGTCATACGCTTATATGTTATAAACTATAATTGGCTTTGCTAAAAGTAAAGATTTCGAATTCTCGAAAAACTATATACTAAAAAAGTTATCAAAATACTCGTAGTTTAATTAATTTTACATAATCTTATTTGAAAGAATTTTTATTATTTTCATTTTTTATTTTATGTAACATATGTAATAGCCTTCACTTTGTCTTCAAAAGTAAGAAAAATTAAAAAAAAACCCCTTCGCCTTTCCGATCCTTGGCCTGCTTACGTAATACAAAATGAATTTACTTAACATAGAAGCTTTCAAATCCTTGACAAAAACACATTGCAAAGCTTAATATCGGCAATACAAGAATAAAACTCAACATTTTATTCCTGCGTTGCTTCATTGTACCTCAACTTATCATATTTATGAAATAACCGTTACCTTGTTAACAAAGTGCTACGACAATAGGACTGCAGAATGCACCAGACGTTTCCCGAGGTAAAGCACTAACGGTACGCGTATAGCTAGTCTCAACGCTAGCATATTGCAAGATTTGTTTTGCAGATGCGAAATATGGTATATTACATGGCTGCAGAAGTTAGGAATTTTCGGTCGTCTTCAGAAAAAGGAGGAGGCATTAAATTAAACTGTATCTTTTTCTTTTTAACCGACTTAAAAAATGTAGGTGGTACTCAATTCGTCTGTATGTTTTTATGTGTGTTACTTCAGAACTCTTGTATAGTAAATCGATTTTGATAACTTTATTTATTTGAAAGCTGATGCTTTTCAAAACTTGACCAGTAGTTTTTGAGTTATCCTTAATAATGCGTATTTAATTGATGTCGGTTGTACAGCATTTTTAACTTTACCACTTGTTTTGGATGTATGTTACGCGATATCTACGTGAATTGTAAACAGATTTTGACTATTATTTTTTAATAAAATTTGTTATAATTCAGGTGTGCTCACGTCTAGTAATTTGGAGAAGCTATTTTACCCCTTAAATGATCAAAATGGAGATGTAGTATTTAATGGAATATTTAAATGACATTGACATTTGATATGCCTTACATACATACATAAGCACTCACGCCTGTCACCCAGAGGGGTAGGCAGAGACTACAGACTTCCATTTGGCACGATCCTGACACACCACTCTTGCCTCTTCCACATCCATATACCCACGCATACATGCTCGTCAGTTAAGGGTACTCTTAATTTGGCCTCTTTTCAATTAATCGCCAATTTGGTCGACAAATTTTCACCTAGGGCGTCCCTTACCGACTCTGCCGTTAACTTCTGCAACATAAATTTGCATTGTCACTCTTTCCTCGTTCATTTTTTCTACATGACCAAACCTTGACACCATGATATTCCTTAATTCACTCAAAAATTAACTTGTAATAAAAAATAAAAACCTACTTAAACCAACTGAAAAGAATGAAATAATTTTACATTCTATAGTTTGGCTCTGATTCTTATACACAATATATCTTAGCTCCGACTACAGAATGTGAAACTGTTTCATTATTTTTAGATCTTTGAAACAGCTTTTACTTTTAAATGTTAACACTTTCTTTATCTGATTTTCAGATACAATAGTAAGACAATAGCAAATTCAAATTATTTATTTGCAACTAAATAAGTACGAAATGTTTTGATCTTGATATTATCAATGTTATTGTGTTAAGAAAACCTGTTTTCATAATATAATTAATTACTAAATTTATTCTATATAAATAACTAAAACGTCTTTTTATAACTTTTATAAATAATTAAATTCATATAAATTAATTACCTAATGCATCGATTTTTAATTACAACAAAAAGTACTTGGTCACTATAATGTAAAAACTCATTTACTGTATTAAATGTCTTCTCAACCAGCCATCGTCGTAGTGAAATTTTAACCTAATTTATTATATGGTAATTGCTTAATATGTGACGGTATTTTGTAATAAATAGTGTTGCACATTGGACAGCTATTTTGTAGAAAGAGCTTACATTTTGGAATTGTCTCAAGTACTAGTTTATGTGGGTTTTGTAAATTTATTTTTGTTATATCTTTATTATGTAAGCATATTTGCTTGTTTTGCATTAATATGACTTACACATGGAATACGGTACACGGGACAGTGAGAGTAAATTTTTCAGTTTTTAGGTACATTTTGTTTCAATAACAGTTTATATTCCCGATGAAATGTCCGAGAATAACAATAGTGGTCAGTTGCTTTTGTGATGCTAATCAACATGTAATGGCAAT